CCACCACAACGCCCGGCTATTTTTTGGTTGCAGCCGTCATTGTTGTTTGGCGGGTCCGGGCTGGGGATTCGAACCCGCCATCTTAGGTGTACGTGGCTGGCACCTTAGCTGGTTGAGCCACAGGCACCGAGCCTAAAATAAAATCTTAAGGGTCCCCCTCCAATAGCTGACTGGCTGGATCCCCTCTGGGCCAAGGGGATACATTAAAACTGAGTCACTAGCCATGAGAAAGGAGATCAGACAGGCCTTATCATGTCCCCTTCCCTTCTTAGAGACATCCTTTGTGATTCATTAACAGGCCTAAGGCTATGCAAGGCGCACCTGCAGGTCCTCAATATACACAACAAACCACTTGAGTCTGGGCCTAGGTCCTGTGCTTTGTCTCTGAGTAACAGGTCCTTATCTGAATTCAGCATTCCTTTTCACTGACTCCTGGTCTATTAGACAGAGCTGACTCTTTGACCCAATTGTCAACTGAAGAATCTTTGAGACATCCCACCTTTATGAGTCAAACCAGTGTTTGTCTTTCATGTACTAATTTATGACTTCACCTGTAATTCCTGTGACCCTGAAATGTACAAAACAAAACTGTCACCCCAGGGCATCCACTTACTCAGGGCCTCTTCGGTGTGGCTCCAGGTCCTGGTCCTCAAACTTGGCTCAGAATAAAACTCTTTAAATTATTTTATCAAGGATGGCTTCTTTTCCATTGACAATACCAAATAAATCTGTAAAATTTTTTGGAAAACACTTTTAAATTAATAAAGCATTAGCAATTACGGCAAATAACCTTGTTATCTTAAATAAAGAAAAAAAAAATAGTGGTGAGGCCATCCCTGTGAAACCAGAGTCCACAGCACACATTTTGATATGCTGCCCCTCCTCTAATCCCCATGACATTTGTATTTAATCTGAACATCCTAAATATCTAGGTGTTTCCTGTTAATGGAGCTGGGAGTGCACATGTACGAAGCCCTAATAGAGTGGGAAGGTTTCAGCCAGGCTCACTCGTGTTGTCATGGTGACAGCAGAGGAAGGTGGCGTGTTTATGAGAAAGCCTTGGATCTTTTACGAAACCAGCCCACAGGGCCTGTGTCTCATTTTCCTCCTGCCTCCAACCACCTTGACTCACCCCATAGGCAACTGTCTCACATGAGCCTATTTTACTTATAGTTTCTACCAAGCAGTGGTGACTCCTAAAAATTAATTTGAAATAAATGCATCCCTTCAATCTATAGAGCAATTGACAAATAAACAATTCTCCAATGTAATGACTGATTTAGATGAGAACCAATGAATGCTTAAAACCTTTCAAGGAATGGTAGTTGGAAAGAAAGATACTTGCAAGGTGCCAAAGAGTCCCTGCAGAGCTGACTTGCAGGCTGAGAAATGGCAGTGTATCGTCACGATGGAGAACCTTCCAGCTTCCACCTGGGACAGCCAGATGTTCCGTGCTTCCAGGAGGGATGTCATATGGAGCACACAGCATTACCTCTGAAGCATTC